GCTGTAAATGAGCTTTTCTCAGATTCAAAATGCACTTTTTTTGTTGTTGTTGTTGTCAATGTCTGAATATTGCATTCTGTCTTAATCCTTTTTATCATATAAAGGATTCCACCTTTATGGGAATTCTGGAATTGTGCATTTCAGAACAAAAGCGAGAGTGAATGAGTAATACATACACACACTGCTCCCAGCTGAGGGTGTGCATAAATCCAAGGTTGCTAAAAAAAAAAAGGGAAAAAAAGGCTGTGGAGCGGCATACTGATGATTTTGTGTGTCGATAGCGTTTGGTGGGGCAGGTGCGAAAGTATGCCAGCGCGCTGTAAGCGTGCGGTTACCACTCGGCAGCCCCGCAGAGATCCCCTGGCGGGCTGAGGGATGAGAGGTGGAGCTCCAGCTGGAGGCCACCCGCCGTCACGCAGAAATGAAGTGCCAATTGATATCTTCAGCGGTAAACTGTCACGACAGCTTCTTTTGTAAACCCCTTGGATGTTGCCGTTTGAGCACCTCCTCTCATATTTCTTTGATTTTTAAGTTTTTTTTTTTTCCCCAAAGGGCATTCGCTATGTACCGACTTCTTAGTTTAACCAGATTTGAAAACGGGACGCGTCACGTTCGCGCTGCAGTCCCGTCCCCAACCTGCCTGACTTTATCACTGGTTAGCCTCACTTTCCCCCAATTATAATACCAATTTAACGCCCAGAGAAAATTTCAGATGACTGCAGAAATAAATTATCTTCACCTCCATCTGTCCTTTCTCATATTTCTGTGAAACACTCGGTGTTCAGAAAATGAAGAAGTCCAGAGTCGCCGTTCTGCATAGTGATTCAGCTATTATTGCTGTGATGAGGAGGTAAGACAGGGTGACAGCTGTTTTTAAAACCTGAGTGCACTCACTCAAGAGAGGGAGGTTTTTTTTTTTCTTTTTCTAAGCAGTTTTTTTTCCTCTCCCTCGTCTGCGTACAACTGTATTGTTCCCCGACGCCATTCTCTCTGTTCGCCTCATTAGTTCGGAGGCAGGAAACCAAATTACGCTCAATTACAAAGTCATCAAAGGCCATCTGAAGTCCTGTCTCAGCAAGCAGGATTGGAAATGTGTTGCAAAACAACACTAAATGAGGGTGCTGTCCACTTTTTAAACAGAGAAACCACGGACGGAGAGAGGAGGAATATCTTGGCTCCGGTTTAAACGGAGGCCTAATTTGTTGTAAACTGTCTGTGATTACAACGGTAACATGGGGGGAAGAACAACATTCAGACACTCTCGAGGGAAAGATTCATATTTCAGTGGCTGGCTTTAATTCAAAGTATCTCTGCCAAATCATAATGCGCACTTTCCCTACCAAGTAGTGGATTGGTCCGTCTGAGACTGACTTCCATTCAGAATGAGAGTATGACATGCATCGCCTGTCCATGAATCATCTTTCCCATTAGAAACTTGTTCGACGTTATTATCTCGTATACACAGCTTGACTTCAACCGTTTGCTCAGGCGAGAGGACTTCTTTTTTTCTCCCGCTTTTTTTGCTCCGACGCAAGGAAAATGAGGCCAGTCAGCCCGAGGTTTGTTTTTCTGGGTCTCTAAGGAGCTTACGGTAAATAGCGCACGGAGGCAGCCATAGGAAATCTGAGTCTTGTGCAACAAAAAGAACCTCCCTTTGAAAATGAAGACATCAATCAGGCGGGCGAAAAACAACCAATTTGCTGCGAGATAATGTAATTATTCCCGCGCTGATGGGAATCTTTGGGGAACGGAGTGTTTGACGGTCATCAATACGACTGTTTACGAGCATTTCATACTTGAAAAGTGGTGCGTCATCGGTCTCTGACGTTGTTTCTGAGGAATTCTGGACCGATGACCTAAACAACGCCGCTCCTGTTCATTGAGCTTCCAGAGCATTTGTTTATGCACAGCTCCCTCTTAAGGTTTGCAACATCACAGTTTCATTTCTTTGTTGTCACGCAGATGGCCTCACTTGGTTCTAGAATAAGGCGTTACTGTCACGTCTGGGGGAATGTCTGGTGTCTCGTCATGTCTTGATTACCTATTGTGTACACCTGGGGTTCCCCTCCCTCATGTGTTTAAATAGTCCTCGTTTCCCCATGTCCTGTGCGAGTGCGTTTTCGTCTGTCTGTTTTCGTCACCCCATGTCAGGTTTGATTTTGTCACAGCCTTGTTTACTTTATTGCCATAGTCTTGTTTTGTACCATAGCCAAATTTTTGTCATAGCCATGTTTTACCACAGTTTTGTTAATCTTGCCATAGCCTTGTTTACTCTTTCTTTGATACTTTGATAATAGTTTTTGCCACAGCCTTGTTTTGGAACCTTGTCCTGTCATACACCCTTTTTCCATATCTCTGCGACTGAGTCCTCCCTCAAGATCCACCTCCCTGACAGTTACCCAGAGGGATTCGTGGTCAACTCAACTGGCGTTTAAAGCCCAAATTATTATCCATCCATCACGGTTGGTATGAGCTGCTGATAGGCTCTTCTCGGTTTTTTTCCAACAGAAATGGCGGATGATGATCAGACATAATTATTAAGAGGTCTTGTTGTGTTTTTACATTTGAAACATTGCAACCCATCCAAACAAAAAGACTCATTCCGTCTTTTTCGAACTGTACTCCCATTGACTTTAACATTACATACCATCTAAGGCCCATGGAGTCTGAGATGTAGGTCTTAGAACTTTGAATTGTTTTCGCTGAGTCGAGAGCAGTCTGAGCTTGGGGTGAACTTGCTAAGACGTCTTCTCTTTGGAAGATTGACAACTGTCTTCGATGTTTTCTGTTTGCAGATCTTTTTCACTACGAATACTTGGGAAAATTGTACAACCAGGTAGATACCTATGTAACAACAGCTGATGTCTTTCCACCTTGAGAGATATATATTTTTTATGAGAAACTTTGGAACTGCATACTATTAGCTATAAACTTCTTTATTAGATTTTGTAGAAATTAAAACACAGCGGGCCTTTCGCTTTGTATTGAGCGGCATCAGGAATAGGTTGTAATCTAAAATCTAACAGTTCAAATGGGGAGGTGGGAGTCGTGCAAAGCTAGACTCACTGTAAGAAATTCAGAGTGGGATCCAGCAGTGACTTGTCCAGCGGTCTTTGGCGCACAGGCAGATTATCTTTGACAGCTGGAACGGAGAATGTAGCGTCTGACAGAATCGGGAGCAAAAGGCCAGTCGTCTGACATCTGATGGGAATTTGATACTTTGCCATCGTGTCATAACTTAGAGCTAAATAACGAAAGCCTCGCACACACACACATAACAAACAGTGGCCGGGTATTTTCCCACCACATAATGGCCGTCGCAGTCTGTTTTGACACCGGAGTCATTGGTCTGTCAATGGTGTTGTTGCTCATGCCGGCGTCTTCTTTTGTTGTTAGTAAAAAAAAATGAAAACCCCAAATAAACTCCGCCGTCTGTATCACCAGCAGCGACAATTTTGTATCGCTTTGTCACCGGTGTCATTCTTCTGTCACCGGCCCCATCATTCATTCAGAGGGATGATCTCCTGTCACCAGAGCGGTTGTGTTGCTTTTGTTCATCTAACAAAAGCAACAACAACAAATAAAAGGCTAAAAAGGATCGTTCTCATGCAGCATAATCAGCGGCTTATCCACTACCTCAGTCTCATCCTTAATCATGCTGCCTTGAAGAAAACATATATCTATTATTAACTTTTGTCACGTAATAGCTTGAATAAATACATTTGTACCAGCATCTTTACAGCCTCCCTCATATCGCTGGTTTATTTGTCGATATCACTCAGTTTTATTTGTACAAAACACATAAAATCAACTGTTAGTTACTGTGTGGTCTATTTGTTCCCACTGTGGATATTTTATGGATTTCATGCAAAAACAAAAAACATGATGTTGTTGTTGAGTTTTGACTTTAGATCATCAAATATGAAAACTTGTGTTCCTGAGTACAAGTAAATAGTTTTTGCCAAATTTAGAAAAGTCCTTTCCAAACTAGTATCTTCGTGAGATCAAACACGGATAGACACACAAAGAGACAAAAAATAGTACATAATAAATACATAAAACAAGCTACATTGCATCTTTTCCCTTACCCTTAAAAAAACACAAAACTATAAATGTGTCTGGCCTCTAGAAGCATAAAAATACAATGTTTCCTTTTAATTTACCCAGAACATTAAGGTAGCATAGGATTAGGTGATTAATTGACTTTAAGTCAAAATAGTGCTTAGCTTATTAATGTTTTGTTTTCGCTTTTGTGTGTCAGTACACCGGATTGATCTGATAGTTAGTTATGTAATACATCACTGTCACAGATGCTCCTTCAGGAAAACTAAAATGTTAGAAAGACTATCTATTCACTGAGTAGATTCAATACAAGAGGAAGAACTCTTCTTTTTATTTAAAACTATGTTTGCTGATTTGGGTCTGAAACAGTGCTTGACCAGGATTGGTCCAGCAAAGAGAGAAATGACAAATAATAATAAAAACTGGACAGAGCGGACTGTTTCCTGAACCTAATGGAGGGGAACAAATTCAAGGCTCCCACTGATGAGTTATTTGCTGATTTCCTCACACCTGATTTGAAAGAGTAATATCTCCGTGACAACCAGCCTGCTATGCATAGGGTCATTGGGGAACCCTGCTGTAGATATGATATTTTTCTGAGAAACCACTGGATGTAAACTCCCATCTAAAAATGACAATTCTCAGCCCCTAATGCCACCAACTGTTTATTCCCTGATGGCGGTGAACTCTTTCAACAGGACAAAGCACCCTGGGAGACAAATGCGAGGAGGTTCAAGGTGTTGTATAGATCGCAAAGAGGTCACTTTGGCAATTTGGCAACAATTTAGTGTAATTATCATGGCTGATGACGTCTGTTTGTGCTGCTGACGACTGCTGCTGGTCGAGTTTTTTTTGTTTTTTGTTGCAACGCTCGCATTTGCGCCGGTACGCGGGTCAGGGTTATTTTATTCTGACCTCTGTTAGCAGCTGCTACTCACTCAGGCAAACGTTGTCGTGGAAAAAGGTGAGGAAGTCGCCGCATTGCTCCCTGTGGTTGCCGCTCGCCGCACAGGAGCACCAGGGTCCCACGTTGGACGTAGAGTTGTCAAGGTAGTTGGGGGTTATTATGCTTCCTGAGGAGAGGAGAAATGACACAACGTTGACTGTTTGCATGCTTTTTTTTAACCCTGTAATGCCAAATGTATCATATATGATACATACGTTTTCTGAAATGTTTTGCGTCTGACACCTTTTGCATAATTTAATGGTAAATTTTTTTGCTCAAAATCCTATTGTACACAATCAGATACACCTGATAACAGGGGGCAGAAGACTACACAAAAAATAATCTTGACTTATCGCATAGTAATAAATTATTAATATTAAAAATGTATAATGAACCAAAAAAAAGTTATTTTCTGTTTTGTTTTATTCTTGGATCAGGCTTTAAAGGGTTAAAGTCACATGACAACAGAACAACTGAATCTTACCCGTAACTACTTGAAATAAATCGGGTTTTCTTCTCTGATTTGGCTTAACTCGTTTTGATTGTTTACTTTTTTATAGTCATGTCTTGTTGTTCAGGTTCCCTCTCCTGCTGCTCCGCGTCTTTTTAAGCGAAGGCTCTTGATAATTTTTGCTAATTAAAGTGCTTTGCAAATGAATTTGACGTGATAACCCACTTGTTAGCACTTGATAAAATGTGCCATTTATGAATCAGAGTTAAATCTTATTTAAGCAAAAATCTGGCTGATCATTTTACGCGCAGCCTGATTATGTCCTTACTGTGATGACAATAATCCAATAAAGACATTTACATGGCAATTTCTATCACCATTGCATTGCACTAATTAGATTAAGGATGGAATATTAACCTGCAGTAACTACATTGGCTGAGAAAGAAAGTGAGAGGAATATAAAAAGGAACAGATGAGAACGGGGCGAAAAAGGGAAAGGGGCTGATTTCACACGCGATGTTTGCCAGAATGTTCAGTCTGGTCCTCACTTTCTGTTCACAGCTGGAGACTTTCTGCTGCTCCAACAGCTAGAAAATGATTTTGCAGGGGCGGAGGCAGAGCGTGATGCAAAGTAAAAAGTCTGAGGTGGAAACAGTTTTTCTCGCAGTGACTCCATTGACAGATAACGCCATAAATCAACCTATCATCTTCACAATGACTGTTTGTGTGTTGATGCAGATATACATATTTGGAGTCAGTCGCTGAGGCAAACGTCTAAGATAAAGAATAAACAATCGCATGGTGATAAATGCTACAGTATACAGTAGGTTACCCAACGATTAGAAACAAGTAATCTGTGGCCACAGAAGAAATCTTGTTAGTTTTTATTGTAAAAAACAACTATATAATCAATAAATTACTGATTGACCTTTGAGATTTGTGTCATCTTGAAGAAACTTCCATGTATTCATACTTACATTAATGTGAGAAGAAACTGCGCCTTCCCTAAATGCAAAGGTGTGATTTTTCAAGATATGTCGGAATAAAATCTGGTCCTTACCACGTCTTAAAAATAGGCAAATGCAGCCGTAAATGAAACACAGTATTGGAGTATTGCATTACGTTGTTACTTATTCAACAAAACATATCCCATATTCAGAAGCAATGTGTGAAAAACACCCTTACAAAGTACAGCCTGGCTAAAAACAGAGTTTTTAGCAGGTGGGGTTGGTTGAAGGGTGGCTTGCAAATGGAAAACATTCAAGAAAGTAGCTAACCTTCACAGGAATGGACATCTCAGCAAGTTCATAGCAAGGTCCTAAGGCTCAATGCCACACATACAGAACAACTCAAGAGCTGCATCTCCAGACTTTTAAATGTCCTTAGTCACTATGTCTTACTTTTTAGAAAAAGAAAAAGACTGAGCAACTGTGACCCCTCCTCATAGCATAGTTTGTAAAACTAACTCTGACTAAAACCTGAGAATTCTGGAGCAATATGTAATTGGCCAAACGAATCCATTGGTCATAATGCAGAGCAGTAAGTTTTGGAGAAAACCAGGCACAGCATAGCAGCCCAAACATCTCATAGAAAAGGCCAAACAGGATGGAGGAGGAATGACGATTTGAACAGAGTAAACTCTTCTTCTTGAGGATCTTCTAGCCCATTTGGCTGATGCATTCACTTCCATTGACAGCGATGTGTACTTATTAGATAAGATAAGATCAAATATTAGGTAAGAAAGGAAAGAAAAATAGAATGGATGACTAATTTGCTCTTGCTGTCATATTCATTCTCTTCTTGTTTTGTGGAATTGTCCATGTGTCGTATTTAATCTGTCTTGCCTACTGAGCTTCCTGTGATTTTATTAGGGGGATAGGTGGTTGCGGTGATGTGGACATTCACTCCAGACAAAGTGCCACACCTTAAAAGCAGGGACATGAATGACAAAACATAAGAAAAAAAAAAAAAGTTTTACTTTTTTTAGTTAAAATTTGGATATGACTGTTTTGGAGTGTTTAGCATCCAGTTATTATGCATCTCGTGTGATGGGAGCTGTAACCAAAACACATAGAACTGTGTAGTCCACATAAATGTGAAGGTTTTATATTGTTTGATATTCTGTTTTGAACTCTAACTGGATACTTTTAACTCGTAATAATTGTTAGGTTCTTGGGATTATGCTTAAATTGATCTGTTTTTTTAGCTTTGGTTCTGTGTTCCTAATTTTCTTTTTCTTTTTTTGTGTCTTCTGTAGTTTCCACATCTTTCAATTTTCATTCATGGTCTTAGGTTTTCTCTGGCTTTCCTCTTTCAGTTCATCTCCCTGCACCTGTGATTTCCGTCTCACCTGTTCTGCACCCACTACTCATTTCTACAAGATTCTCAAGTTGATTGATTCATTCAGATTTGTACTCTGTGTACCTTCTGGTATAAAGACTACGTAAACTTTCTGAATTTCCTTCCATTTTCCAATTCAAACAAAGGTTTGTCCTTAAGCTCCTCACAATCCCAAACAACCTCCTTTTTCTTCTCAGGGTAGTTGTTCAGCACGGTATTGTTGTCCAATATTGACACGTGTAAACTTGGTGCTTTGAAAAAAAAAACAACCTTTTGTGCATTATGTGATCTTTTGTTACGTTTTTTTTAAATCTGCTGCACAAAGGCCTTGTTGTACACCTCTGCACGCTCCCACTCATCGTCACGTCTGGGATAATTCTCTCAAAACAGCAGTCGATAGTTGTAATTGCGCTGCTTATAATGCCCGAGATTTGGCCGGGCACGCCGCGGCCATATTAATCAGCGCTCCATCGATCATCTAGGCATGCTCCTCATCACAGTCCTTGATTCATTCTTTTGAGTCCTGCTCCGTGCACTTGTCTGCACTCCACCTCCTTTTCCTCTGAAACCTCTTTGTTTCCAATCCATCATGGAGGGTGGGTGAGCCAGATCTGGCTCAAAAAAGATTTAGTTCTTACCTATCAAGCCGGTGTACGCGAGAAGACACGCTCCGTAGTTTTCCTGTTTGCAGCCGCTGGCGCTGTGCTCCGACGGCTGGCAGTCGTACTGAAACTGTGCCCAGCGTGACCTGTGGGGGCAATAACACACCATCCATCATTTCCTCGCATCCATCACGTCACAGACCGGCGGGCCGGGATCAGTGTTTTCTCTCATTGACATGATGTACGCCTAAAACTGGCTATGCCTTAATGCATACCCATACCCATAACCCTCCCCCCGACATCAACTCCCTCTTCCCTTGAAGTGCTCCTGCTCTGTGGGACTTCAGACCATAATGTAGTCACCTCCGGTGACATTCATTCCTCTTTTTCTTGCTTCGCCTCTCTCCCCAGCCGGTTGTCTTCTGGACGACGGCCAGGCTGTAAAAAGTCAATGAGGGGCAAAGACAGGCCCTGGCTCCACTCTCTCAACGCCGTGGGTGCTTGTCTGGCTTAGATATTAGACAAATATGGATGTTCCGCATAAACACTCCTTCCCACGGCTGCTTTCCCTTTGCCCACAGTACCTTTTTTTTCCTGCCAGCTAGGCAGACATCTAACCATCATCTCCATCATCAGACAAGACCATCTACCGGTATTTGAAACAGGATCCTCAGCATTTTTTTTTTTGCCCTGTCCTCATTAGCCACGCCACCGTAATGATGTGCATAAATCTCATTAGCTGTACTGTTAGTGAGGCAATCCGCTGCTGGCAGCCGGTTAATGCCGGTAGCTGACTGGTGCAGGTTTTTCTGGGGCCACTCCGTGGCCTTGAGATGCTCCGACCGGGCGGAGCAATGGCGGAGAATAACGCTTGATCGATAGCCCTGACAGATGAAGCCTTTTGTCTTCCTGACATTTGAAGAGGAACTAGATTAAGCGTCGGCGACCATTTGCTGTCAGAGGGGGGAGGCTGGGTCTGAGAGCTCCATGTTGCTGAGACAGACGCACGCCTTGTGAATCCTAATCACTTCATCAGATGTCATCGATTTTCCGACTGAACAATTCGGTATCCATTTGAATTTGGAAGAAAATATCAGTTTTTATCAGCGTCATAACATAAACAAGGATTTATTACTGGATAACAGATAACATGTCATGCACAGAGGGTCCATTTTCTGTAAGCTACTTACTGGTCCTGATTAAATCTTGGCATTAAGTATTTTTCTGAGCATCCTGGCAACCAGTGAGTCCCTAGCGATTATAGCTGTTTATAGTAATGACTATTTCACATGGCTGCTTGTTGCCTGGCTGCTCCCCTCAGAAAATGAATGCAGGGTTTAATTTAACTAATTAAGCACGGTTAATGAGTAGAACAATTGAATTAATTAGACACAACTGACTTTTTAAATCTAAACGAACATATCAAAAGAGGCAGACTCATCCTCCAAGATATAGAATACCATCCTGGAGGGAAAGCCACTCTGTATGGACCCCACATAAGTCAAACCCATTAACATTTAATTAACCAATGGCAAGATTATGTTGTTAACATGTTGCATTGGGTTTTGAAAAATATAAAGTAACTTTTATTAATGTAAAGTAGCTATCTGAGCTTTCCTGTTTTTCCATTGGCAGTGTTTTCATCCAATGCTGGACCATAAAGCATAATTCTGTTCCATCATTGATTAGTGAGTGCGGTTTTGGAAAAGTAGGTCAGTGTGTAAAAACAAGTTATTGTCGTCAAAAATGGTGCTTTGAGGTGGAGTCTCACATTTTGTCCGGTTTGCCATGCTCCTTCCTCTCTTTGTAATGTGTTATCCCCATCCACCTCAAGCTAACTTTCAACCAGCTGGCACTGTTCCGGAATGGAGCATAGTCTCAGGATGCCACATCATAGTATTTAAAAATTGTCCAGGGCTTTGAAAAGATCATTGCTGGACTTTAAGAAAAAACACTGGAAGGGGGATGAAGGACCTATTGGGGTAAGAAACGTTTAAATAACTAGTGAATGTCACTGAATGAGAGGCAGGGTACACTCTGGACAGGTTGCCACTCCATCAACAACACACACTTATACTCACTAAAACTTACAATTTAAGGTCTCCATTTAATAACACAATAAAATGAATGTTTTTGGGAGTAAGTTGAAGTACCCTGTGCACAGGGACAATCATCTCAAAAGAAAGAAATGTAAGATTTGCAAACAATTTCTTCTTCATATTTTGTCATTATTTTCCTCAGTTTCTTTCTGACTGATCAAAGCCTCGCTCTGACTGTCACCTTTGTAGTTTTGCTGACGGGCCCTCTTCTTAGTGCTGTCTGGCTTTGCGTTTGTAGTTCTGACACCGATGTCTCAGGGGGGAGGTTTATTGAGGAATTTGTTCCCATTGACGTGGGAGGGTTTTGAGCGACAGCTGACAGTTTCCATGTTGAATGGCACAGCAAGTGGACTTCCCCATTTTGTGGTGAGTTAAACCACCACAAACAGGGAGCAGCCATGGTATGTCATCACTCATTAATTAGCTGTTCTTGATTCCTACCAAAAAAACTGCTTCTTAGGATTGTTTTGGTCCAGCTCCACTCTTGTTGAAGATGGTTCACTGAAGCTTCACTGCTTCCTTTGGCTAATTTGGATGCTTAATAAAAAAAACTGTACTAAAAGGCATTTGCATACCCAATTGGGGAATTAATATAGTGCATCATTGGAAAGGGCAACCCCATATCTTAACTTTGAACCACTTCTTTCATTTTGATCTTGAGATGGCAGAGTGATGTAATCCTTTCACAGTTTTTTTTAAGGTTTATTTCTGTCAAATCCCTATTTTTTATCATTGTAAAAAGCTTTAATTGATTTAATTAACACAAATCTGATTCCATCCGTGCTGAGTTAACAGCAGAATATCAAAGCAGAAAATGTTATTCGGTAAAATACATGACAAGACAGAAAGGCCAAGCTAATTTAGGAGCGGAACATCAAACAAGATCCCAAACGTGTCCACGGCCTCAGGAAAGGGGCCAAACAAAAGAAGCCGTTTCACCGACAGTGTTTATACACCCGATGCATTTATATGGAAGTTTACTTTATGTCAACTGATATGCAACACAGGCTTTTTTCAAGTCAAACAGATGGGTGCTTCAAAGCAACATGTTAAAACACAGGGATTTTTAAAAAAATCCATCAATTTTGGTTGCGTAAGATGATTTTTGCTTAGCTTTAACCAAATCAGGGTCTACATACGACATGCCTTGAACAGAGTTGGACCCTTTTACATCGTGTATGCAGGTTCTGAACCATGAAAACACTGAAAGTGAGTTGAAACTGCTCTCCTCAGCAGGAGCATTGGAGACTTTTACCTGCACACGTAGTCTGCTTTGCAGACGCGCAGCTGGGCCAGGCAGTTGGGCTTCTCCTTCTCCTCGTAGGAGCACGACGGCACGATGGTTTGCCTGCGGCGCTCGGCACAGGCCGTGTCCGTGCAGGGGCAGAACAGCAGCTCGTGGGTGTAGTCGGGCGGCACGCGGTCAAAGAACTTCCTCAGCGCCTTGTTGCACTTGGGTCGGTTGCACGGCCCCGAGCGGGCCGACGGCTGGATGCAGGATGATACGTACTCCGTGCGCAGCTTCTGACAGGTCTCGTCTATGTTGCACGCTTTGGCGGCGTCCAGGCAGCGGTTCACTGTCGTTACCTCAGACTCTGGTAATACAAAAAAAAAAAAGATGAATAAATAAGATACAACAAAAAACCCACAAATGAGACTCCAAAAAGCTTTTCATCCTCCTTGTGCGGTTTGAGAAAAAATCAAATCCCAGGCAATGTTTACCAATGATTCCATGGCCTAATTGGAGCCCGTATTGACTTGCCACTCACCCTTGGACTTGGATGCAGTGGGTGCAGTTCCAAATGAGGATAAAAAAAAATTAAAAAGATAGTGTCTCGGGCAACAAACTAAACCAAAAAAAAAAGATGATTATATGTAATAGGGCTCCTTGTGATGAATAGAACATGAATGGTGTTTAAATGTTGTACGAGTCTGGGCTCTGAATGTGTTTCAGCCAAGGTCTAATGGCTGAATATTTCATTCTGCCGGGTTAATGCAGAGTGGCAGCGCTGGAGAAGTGGCTCCTCCATCTCTCCAACCATGCAACAAGGGCTGTTATTACTCCTCCTTCCCCTCCATCCCTCTGTTCATCTACCCAACACTCCCACCTCACATCTGGGGCCGTCCCTCACCCGATTCCCCTTTTCCCTCCCTGTCTAGGCTCCTACTCTCCATGCCGCCGTAACCTCCCCATCTGTCTCTTTCCTTTTCCGGCTCACTCTGTGTTCATATCCATAAAATTTGCTTTAACTTTGTCTATCTTTTGATCCTATTCTGCCCATGCGCTCACTGACTAATGAGCCTGCTCTGTGAAACCATCCCCTTTCCCAATGTATCATCATCTTCAGCTCCTAAAGTGCCTGTAGTTATGTCTCCTGGTGAAGTCAACTCTGACCAGGCTGTCATAGAAGATGAGGATGACCTTGCAGAGCGAGCTAACAGCCCCATCACAAAGCACAGGTTATTGTATTCCTGACTAACTGCTCAGAGGAAGAGGAGGTGGACTTTCATAAATTGTATAAAATGTCATAATTGTATGTGGCTAGCACGCATACATTTTAATGCAAAAATCCTGGTCTTTCTGTTTTTTTTCTTTAGATTTTTCACACTCCTGAAACTTATTTACTGTATAAAAACCCTTACCATATGCTGATGTAATTGGCATTATTGATCAGTTTCCGCTCTCAGACCTGATTCTGTAATCCGTTAATGCTTTTCTGGTTGTTTTTTATTGTTGGCCTTTTGTTCAGTTCAGGGTGCGGAACGAGTTCCATTAGCCATTAGTTCCCCCTAACCCACCAAAGGACTAAAGCAGACATTCATACAACAATGCAAGCTAACTCCTACATTAGTTTAGAACATGTTTGTCCAAAGCTCCGGGGGGGAGATCCGACACAGGAGAGAACAATGTAGCTCCATGTAACCGTACAGACGAGGCTTATAGCAGAACCTTTCCTACTGCGACAACGCTAATCACTGCTCCATTGTGCTATCCTGCTTTTTTCTTTTTATTTTGAAGTGGGCTAAGCTTTAGGTATGTATTCAAGCCAAGCATTAAACTGTTGAGTCCATTACAAGTTATGTCAGACACACTAGATTTCTCGCTTTAGGAATAACTAATAATAACTGAACATACTTCACACAAACATACTTTAATTAAGAAATAATAAATAATGGATATTCTTTTTTATCGTTCTCCAAAGTTTTTTTTTCTTCTGTACAGTTACAAAGTTTTTGAGTTGAACCTTTTGGCTCTGTAGTTTTTATTTGAGGCCTTAATATGAATTTCTAAAACTTGTAATACGTACAATATCTAATGCCTAGTGTTATCTAGGGGATAACTCGGCAGATCAAGAGGTCCCCAGTTGGTGCCCCCCTACTTTGTAAGTTGCTTTGCATAAAAGCGTCAGCTAAACAAAATAACATGACAGGAGGACCATGTAACAGTAGTCCCCCCCCGTATTGTTATTATTCACTTATCTTATATAATTCTGTTTGGCAGTACAGCCTACAGTAATACTTTACTTTCCTGTCGACAATAGGTCTTTTTAAATTTCATCTTTTACAGGCCCTGAGCTTTACCAGTCATGGATTATTGAGCAATGCACATATATATTTATATATGTTGTCAAATAAAATGAGTGTTTTGAAGATTATGAACAAGCAATGAAGTGGATTATGGCATACAAGTCTGAACACTGTATTTACAATTTTTAGATGTTTTTTCCTCCACCCATCGTGTCTGTAACCAGAATGATGGAGGAACACACAAGTCACTTTAAGCCCATCAAATAGGAGTATTTGACAGCTGGAAGGGAAATTCTTGATGAAGCCCACTTTTAGGAGTCGTAGTGGTGATAGTCCTGTTAGAACTGAGTTTTTTTTTCATATTACCAGTGGACAGGGCTGTAACCACTACATTGTTCAATTCTCTGCGACTAAACAGGCGTAAGTTACCGACTTCTGTATCATGTGAATCTAAAAAAAAAAGAAAATAATCTGTATTACTTTACCAAGCCTTTGAATGACTGGTTGCACAAGAGTCCTGGAGAAAACCAAATTGATGGTATATTTTCCTTTCAGTCAGGGAGCATGAAGTGGAAAATCTTTGTAAGGAAACACAATTTGTAGCACTCCCACAAGCCAATGATGCATTAAAAAGCTTCTCTCTGGGCGCGGAACATGCGCTGCGTTTAAAAAACGAAGCAGTCTCCGAACAACGCCGGCTTGATTTTAGATAGCCGATTAATTGGTATAAGGTGAGGCACTCTTGTTATTTGAATACTCCTCAAAATATGCTGAGCTGTGGCTCCAGCTTCCATCTTCCAGGGAGAAGGGGTCATTACTCTGTTTGAGAGAGAGATGCTATAAGGGTAGGAAAACATCCATTAATCACGCCTCTGCTGTTTTGGCAGCCGACTTGTCGAGATGCATGGCAAGGATGTCAACTTTGACCTCCTGTGTAGTTACTGGAGTGAAATTTATGAGGAGGCTGTACAGCATTGGTCAGGCACTGTGTTATTCAAAGGACCCAGACAAATGGTGTCACATTAATAAGCAGCCTATGCACGAGGCCACAGAGCAATAATCACACTCTTTTAAAGGAGATGATTGCAACGCTAACTTTTTCCTTACGATTTTTAAAACTTTTTCTCCCCCCCTGAAGTCATAAGTAACAGCTGCTATTTCCTCGGTAAAGATCAGTTAAACAATTTGCACTTGAAATCTGGATAAAACCCCCACCCTAAAAAATAAAAAAATAGTTTTGCCTTCTTAGTCTGATAGTGTGAACACATGCAGATCTTAATCACAAGAGAGGCCCATCAGTTATTGTGCCAAACACAATTATCTACTTTGCTGAAAATGACCTGGGAAGAACTGGGCTTTACAGACGTTTGATGATTTGCATGGAAACTTGAATGTTGCTAAGCTGATATTGACACTCTACTTTTGACATTCATAGTCAATTTGTGGTCTTTGTGACCTTCCAAAAAATCCCCCGACCAGAGACATCAACATCTGTCTAGAAATGAGATTTCCTGGTGTTAGTGGAAAAATTCAAAATGCAAGGCCTTAAAGGCTGTAAGTCTAAGTGTGATTGGTTCTGGTTGGCTATTGAAATACATTTGTCAGGTGAATTAAAGATCCCAATCACTTTTTTATTTTTTAACCATTTGCAAAGTTTCATCCCAACACCCTTGCTTTCCCTCAAAATTCGGCAAGAAAGCTGTTGGATGAAACTATACTATAGAACCCACTGTGCTGCCCTTGTTAGATGTAGCCCTGACCTGTGAAACACTGAACAGCAGCCACAGTTTTTTGTTCATTATCTCTAATAAGGCCTTTCCTATTATCTCCTGGGTTTAAAATTGGCAATACTTTTGTCTTGAACTAGGAATCAGGATCACCAAGGGAGGTTATTGCTCTTTTTTAAACCTTACATATTAATTTATTGTGAAGATATCTCTGCAAACTCAAAAGAAAATCTAGTTCTAAGTTGCCATTTTGTCATTTCTACCCATGAATTTCGACGTCCCTGTCATGTTGGAAATATCAATAAGTTGAAGGTTTGCTCTCTCGGTGGGTTTGAAAACAGCTGGCTGAGATGTTTCGGGAACATGACAGGATGGTGGAAGATATACAAGAAATGTGTCTGCGTATGCAAAAGACAGGAGACATCTCTATATCAAACAGTGCGTGTCGCTATATTCCCCATACAGTCAGATCTCAGTACATAATCATAAAAAATAAATATTATTCAATGAAATGGGAATATCAGAGTGAAGGAGTTGCACATCAGAATTGTCACTCAGATTGTGCTGCAGAAAACCGTGCTTAGAATGCTTAAAAATTTGAATATTTCATGTTTTGCTTTGTTGAATAGAGCTGCTTTGCTCCTGATTTCTGTACCAACAATGTTGGGTAGGGTGTTTTACTTTTACACGGGTTTTTACACACATTTTTCCAGAGCCCCCCTCATAGAAGCTGTTCAATCACTCGCCATTTCTCATCCTCGTGCAGTCTGCTAATACGGTCTGGGAATTTGGATTTTGACACTGATCCCTCATTCCTTATTAAGGGCTGCAAAAATGCAAAACTTTCTAATGCATATTTAAAATCCTGGGCTGTGATAAACACGATCGCTTAACTGGTGTCTTCAGGGCAGACCGTGTGAGGTGGCGAGCCTCCTCTCCACACCTCACTTAACTGTGACACCATACATGCGTGTGTCATTCACAGGTCTGAGCCACACCATCTGAAACTAGGAAACATGCAGCTCATGACTCAGTTGGATGTAAATGCAGCTTTCAGTGGATTCATTACAGTTTCGTCAACTTCTTTTTTTTTTTTACAAGAGCTGTCCAATTCCTTTCAATTTCAGTCAAGGCAAGTCAAATGTCTTTACGCTTTAATAAAAACATTACAGTGGGGAGCGGAAGAAAAATCGAGAATACATAAAATAATGTAAAGAGAAACGAAATAATAAAAGCACATAAAATAACTAATAAAAATGATTAAATACAAGCGGAGGTATAGATAAGTTAAAAGATGTCGTGCAGATTATATGCATAGACACATGGAAAAAAAAAAGCTTGTCTACATTTGTCAAGTGTTTAATCTCTATAGTTTGTTGCACTTTGTTGCATAACAGCTACATGATTCTTCTCTAGGTTTAGTGGCAATAGCATTCTGGATGTTAAATGTTAAATGCTTTGTTTCTGCTAAATCTAGTTAAAAACTATTACATTAATCCAGTCTACTGGAGATTAATGCGTGGATGAGCTTTTCCTATTCTTTTTTTT